AGAGTGAGAGAGAGAGAGAGAGAGAGAGAGAGAGAGAGAGAGATGCTGCCTTATGGAATGGTTTCTGGTATATTTGAAAAAAGATGTTGCACAATTCAGAGTTTCTTCAGGAAGAGTTAACTTTTGCCATCAGGAAGAACCACACACACACACACACACACACACACACACATACCCCAAACACAGTTTTTTTGTATTTGTGTTTATGAGATTTTGGATTTAGTAGCTATCAAGATCAAAATATCAAGATCTGGTTACTGTGGCAAATGATCTGGTTTTTTTTTCCTTCCTTCAGCCATTGCATTCTCACCCCACGTAGCAGGAAGATGGATGCTTCCCTCCTGATGTTACTGTATTGCAAAGATAAAAACCCCTTGAATTGGTAAAACAGCCAGAAACCTAGTTCTGGACATACAATCACCTTGTTTTCTTCAGTGCTGTTGATGCCAAAAGCAAAATGCTCCATAGCGTCCACCCAATGGAAATATATCCCAACTCTGGCCCACTGAGTTTTACTCTCTAGTATGATGGGGATGGTTTTTGCTTGAATTTCCTCGAATTCAAGAGGAGATAATTGAGGCTGAAAAAGGAAAATCTATCTTGCACATACTACGAGGGGTGAGCAGGCATGGTTACCAAGCCACATTTCAGGGAGTGGGTGTTTTCCTATTTTTTAAAATTTGGAAGTCACCTAGAATGAATTGCTAAGCCAGCTATTCCAGAATAGTTCCACTGAAGCCAGGGGGCATCTTCTAAGGCAAGGGCTTGGTGAGCTGGACCACTAAACTTGTTGCTTTTCTCACTTGGACAGTCTGGCATGCAGATTGCCACGTACAACCTCTCCAATACACCTAAACATAATTTCTTTGACTGTCCTTTCACACACACACACACACACACACACACACCCCTCACTTGGACCTGGCACCAGAACCCCAAACATCCATTGCAGCTTGCCCTTCTTAGCACAAAATACTGCACTTGTTAAAGTGAGAGACAGCCCTCCTCAGAAGAATGTAATGCCTGCAACATTGGTTTGCCTGCTCCAGGTTGGATGAAAACAATTTGCCCAATATTCTGACTATGTCCCCCAACTGGTGCAGGAAGGGGAATGCAAACTTAAGCACAAGCAAGTAAGATAACTGAGTGAGCAGCCCTCAGTGACACAGTTTAAGCCACCACAAGGGTGGCAGGAAAAGAGGTTTCTCTTTCTTCCTTTCTGTTTTGCCCACCTGGGAGAAGTTGGTTGCATTTTCTTCTTGCGAAGGCTAGCGATGACAAAGTTTTTGGCCCTGCAGCTTGGTGGTGTGAAAACTGGGAACGGTGCAGTGCTGACCATCCTT